TGTTGCTACAGCATCTTCTTGATTAGTATCTGTTTTTATACTATTTAGTATTGATAATTTATCTTGTTCTGTGCAGAAATTATCCCACCAGCCTTTCAGTTGACCGGTGAATCCCTGAATTATAGCTATAGCTGCTGATTTATCACTACAACCCTTAGACTTATGGGCAGTAGCTGCCATAGTCATTTGACAAGTTAGATCTAATATGGCTTGTTCACTTAATTAGCTTTTAAAGAATTATCCCTTAAAGCTTGCAGTACTTTTTGCAAATGTTCTATGTGAAACTGCTCATCTTGGCTATATACCAAAATATCATCAAAAAATACCAAAACAAACTTCCTCAAATAAGGTCTAAGAACCTCATTCATCAATGCTTGAAAAGTTGATGGCGCATTGGTTAAACCAAATGGCATGACAACAAACTCGTAGTGTCCCTCATGAGTTCTAAATGCTGTCTTTGGTATATCCATCTCCTTCATTCTTATTTGATGGTAGCCAGATTTGAGATCAAGTTTGGTGAAAATAGAAGCCCCTCCAATCTCATCCAATAACTCTTCTATGATCGGAATAGGGAATTTATTGGGAACAGTAATTTTGTTTAAAGCTCTATAGTCCACACAAAATCTCCACCCTCCATCCTTCTTTTTGACTAATATGATAGGGCTAGAATAAGGACTGATGCTATGTCTTATAACTCCTGCTATCAACATTTCCATCACTAATCTTTCAATCTCCGTTTTCTGATAGTGAGGATACTTGTAAGGCCTTAAATTAGGAATTTCAGATCCCTCCTTTAAATGAATTGCATGATCATGTCTTCTACTAGGAGGTAGACCTTGTGGATCTTGGAAGACATCCTGGAAACCTTGCAATAATTTCTGCACGGAAGCTGGAATTTTCTGCTCAATCTTTTCTGAATTATTTGTTGTCCCACATTGCAACAACAGACCTTCCCCCTCTGATTGGAGCACTTGCATGAATGCCCCAAAAGACAATTCAGTCTTGGTCATAGCAGGATCCCCTATCACCTTGATCAACTCTCCCCCTTGTCTTAAAGTCAGTTCAAGTTTGCCAAAATCTGCCTTAACTTCTCCCAGACTGGACAGCCATTCCAACCCTAAAACCACATCAATTCCTTTTACTCTAAAAAGATAGAAGTCTTGGACTATTTTGATCTGTTGCATCATCATCAATAACTGAGTACATTTTCCCTTGCATTTAATTTTATGTCCATCTCCCACCTCCACTATGTATGACGGTGTGTCTTCCACTCTCAACTCCAGTTGCTCCACCAATTCCTTTGCAATAAAATTGTGTGAAGCTCCACAATCAATTAGGATGATAATAGATTTATCTCCAATTTTCCCTCTCACTTTCCAAGATTTGGTTGTAGTGAATCCAGTCATTGAACACAAAGATAATTGTAGTACATTGAAATTCCCCAACACATTTTGATTCTCATCTAAGCCTTCCTCCTCTTCCTCCTCTTCTAAAATAATCATCCTCAATTGTTTATTTTTGCACCTATGCTCCCAGCTAAAAGGCTCATCACATCTAAAACATAACCCCTTTTCTCTTTTCTCCCTCATTTCAGCTCCGGTGAGATGTTTAAACTCTCCTCCTCGGTTTCTTGGTCCCTCTCTTGACTGTCCTAAATTTATTTGTGGACCTTTTATTCCCCAATTCACAGGTTCTGTTTTCTTGTCAATCACATTCTTAGATTCCAGCATCACAGTTCTATTATATGGGCCACTTCTATCATTGCCATATGCTCTAAGATTTTGCGAATTATTCTTCTTGTTCCAAACCACATTCTTTCATTCAATCATCAACGATTTTTGAATTACCTCAGAGAGTGTGTTGAGTTCATATAGTCTTAACTCCACTTGTATTTCTTCCTTGAGTCCGTTCATGAAAATGCCTTTCACAAATTCTTGATCTATCTCCTTCAACGCCCCCACATATTTCTCAAATTCTTCTATAAATTCCTCCACGGTTCCTAATTGTTTCAAAGACAATAACAATTCGAAGGGATTTTGAATCATAGAGGGCTGGAATCTCCTGATTACAGCATACTTAAACCCCTCCCAATTAGGGTTTGGGTTGCATCGCTCCCACCACTGAAACCATCTCAATGCCCTTCCCTCCAAAGCCACCATAATAGCCTGCATCTTCTCCTCATCACACACGCCTTTCACAACAAAATATCTTTCCAATCTATGAGTCCATCCATATGCATCCTCTCCTGAGAAAACTGGAATTTCTAGTTTCCTCCATTTTCCAGAATCGCGATGCTCTGCTCCAGAGCTGCCTCCAACCGTCCCACGTTCTTGTCCACTAGAGGCGTCTTCTTGGCCTATCCCCAATTTTGCTGCAATGGCCAATAATAATTCCTCATTCTTCGCTGTTCTTGCCTCCGCTAATTCCAAACGCGTGATCATCTCCTCGCGTTCTTGCTCCCATTCAACAGAATTTCTCGCCATGCTCCTCGTCCTCATGCGCAGCCCAAAAACCTTCCAGAGCACCAAGATCGGTGCTCTGATACCAGTGTTAGACTGGGAAGAGAGAATACAAGAATCAAAGTGTTTCTGGATAAAGAAACGGTATTATTGCTGATAAAGAGATTGGATTACAATTCAAACTGAATGTACAGAGAGGAAGAATGTTCCCAACGGATTCCAACCATCCGTTCCAACTACTTTCCCAAAGTCCCAAAAAGATACCTTTACAGAGGAGCCTCACCTCCTATTTAAATCTATTTCCTAACTAACTACCCTATAACTAATTTTGCCTCTAATTACAGCCTGGAGCCCGTCTAGAATACACGTGTTTAATTGGAGGTCTTGGCCTATCTAGCTGTCGGACTCTATCAAGAGTTCTATGCCATCTTGTTTGCTGTAAAGAAGTGGTAACACTATTTCCTAGGGCATCATTTCACCATCAGAACAGATCAACAAGCTTTGAAACATCTTCTACAGCAGCCACCAACTACAATGATGCAAAATTAGGGATTAGAAAAACTAATGGGCTTGGATTTCCACATTGAGTATAAAAAGGGTAAAGAGAATGTGGTGGCAGATTGTTTGTCAAGAAAAGCAGAAGGAGGAAACATAGCAGCAATATTTCAAGTAGCACCATTGTTAATTGATGAAGTCAAACAGACGTGGACACAAGACATGAAACTTCAAAAGATCATTGATAGAATCCAACTTCTACAAAAGCCTTATAAACATTATACATGGGATGGAGAATTGTTGAAGCGAAAAGGGAAGTTGGTTGTAGGAATAGTTGATCAAGTAAGAAGTAAGATTCTAAATTCTTTCCATAACTGTGGTGGGTGGTCATTCGAGTATGAAGCAGACATATAAGCAAGTCAAGGAATATTTTTACTGGAAGGGTTTGCAGAAGGTTGTGAAGCAATGGGTACACGAATGCTCTACATGTCAAAGATTTAAGTCTATTCTTCAGCCACCAGCAGACTTGTTACAACCCTTGCCAATTCCTGAGAAAGCGTGGCAATCCATCACAATGGATTTCATTTGTGGCTTGCCTAAATCACAAGGTTTTACTATTATATTGGTGGTTGTGGATCGATTCACATAATATGGTCATTTCATGGCATTAGATCACCCGTATGGCACAGCAAAAGTAGCTCAACTTTTCATGGATATAGTGGTGAAGTTGCATGGTTGGCCAGTTCAAATAGTCTCTGATAGAGATTCAATCTTTCTCAGTAATTTTTGGACTGGATTATTTAAGCAACATGGTGTGCAGCTGTTGAGATCAACAACTTTTCACCCTCATACAGATGGTCAAAGTGAAGCATTGAAATCTACTTAAGATGTACTACAGGTGATAGGCCGAAGGATTGGTGTACTTACTTGCCCCTTGCTGAGCTTTGGTACAATACCAAATTTCAAACATCAGTTGGGATGACACCATTTGAAGCATTATATGGTTATCCACCACCAAGTCCTTGCTATGTTGTGCCATCTGATTATTTGGTCGAAGCCGTGGATTATACCATCAAGTCAAGGGAAGAAATAAAATCCATACTAAAGACAAATCTGGTCAAAGCACAACAACGGATGAAGTTCTACGCTAATTTAAAAAGGATTGACAAAGTATTTCAGGCAGGTGACTTGGTCTATCTAAAATTCCAGCCATATAAACAACACTCATTATCAAATTCAGCTTTCCACAAGCTTTCAGCTAGATATTATGGCCCCTATAAGATTTTGGAACCCATAGGTCAAGTAGCTTATAGATTGGAATTACCACCTGAAAGCAAATTGCATTATGTGTTCCACATTTCTTTGTTAAAACGGCATCGGGGCAATCATATAGTATGTCAGCACTTACCTGAGTACAATAAAGATGGGAAGCTTGCTGTCAAACCAATAGCAATTTTAGACAGAAGAATGAAACGGAAGGGTAATCAGGAAGTAACAGAAGTCTTAGTACAATGGGAACACAGAAGTCCTGAAAATGCAGTTTGGTAGGAACTACACTCTCTTAAAGGCGAATTTTTAGACTTTCAGTGGGGTGCCCCTTCGCAAGGCCTCATGGTCTAGGCCATCTTTTAAGGGGGAGAAAGTTGTTATATATCTTTTAGATGATGAGCTGTAATTAGTTTTGTTTGTTATCTTGTTAGAAGATAAAGATAGACTTGATTGTCTAGGAATAAGGGTATAAATAAGACCCTAGTGTAATAAAAAAGGATTATGAGAATACAATCATATTCTTGCGTTCTTCTTCTATTCTCGTGTGAGATTTGTGAGAAGTAGTGTGTTGAAGGTGTGAGTTTCCACCTTTAACACAAGCCTGAAGGAAAAAAGATCAAGAAGGAAGTATGGACAGGAAGGCATTGAAGAAAATTTGGCAGACATTTGCATGGTTCCTTAGGTATTACAAGTTGCAGAATGCCGGCTTGAACTAACCTCAGAGTAGATGATAAAAACAAAGAAATTTGGTGAAATGCTTGAACTAATAAGAGACCATTATGTAAGACAATATGCTACGGTATTTCATCAGAAAACGTTATAGGACATAACACAAAAATCAAAAAGAACAATAAAATCGAGTAGATACAATATAAAGAATATTCTTTAAGCACATACCTTGGGGTGGCTGCAATGGCTTCCTTGACAATACATGTTACACGTTTTGGAACTGAAGCGGATAAAGGTTTGTCATCATAAAATTGTACCTTAACTTTCATTTTATCTGCCAACCAATCAACAAAATGATAATTCATTCACTAGTAATAGAGAGCAAGATTGTTGAACCAAGTCCTAGTTATATACATGAAAATAAAAATTGGTACTTGATGACTACTAGGGTAGAGAACAAACTTGTCCATAAATGCAGAGCCACTAATAGGCCATTAACAGAAGTATATATCAGAAGGACAAAAGAGAAGGGGCATTGACTCAGGCCAAGAGGGGTAAGGTATTGGACCTGGTAATGAAGGCCTAAGACAGAAGCTGGATGAGGAGGAGTCAGGTAGAAGAGAGAGAGGGGGAAAAACAGAAAGAACAGGTGGCGTGAGAGGAGTGAAGAAGGGGGAATCTGCTACTAATTGAGAACTCTAGACTTGAAGAAGGGGGAATGGAATTGGATATTTTAGAATTACTGTTGGTTTGGTTGCCTTTTGGCTGAATTGAGGAATTTTTGCTGTATGTTGGTGATTATCTATATATTTTCCATATTATCTTTCTGTTTTGTTCATATAAGGAGCAGATACTCAGTTCCCATTAATTCAATCTTTCTTAAAAAGTTCAGTCTTAAAAAGGGAGGCTGAAAACACAAGCTTTTCCAATAAAATATGTAAAGAAACCACATATGACTTGGAAAATGAGGGAATGGCACCATTCAGCAGAGAGCAAGGGATGAATGAAGAATAAAACTAATGACAGTAATCAAGCATGTGATTAAAGTACTGGTATAAACTTTAAATGTCATGCATCACGATGTCAAAAGCCATAGAGGAGATACTTAATAGTCACAAAGCTATAGAAAAATCGCACTGAACACTAACATCAGCAAGTGATTAATCTAAGACTTCAAGTTAATGAGAAAGTTGGCAATTAGTATCAGAAGATTCGAGGAAATGCTAGGGAGACAGTCATCAATCACTTTTATTATATAGCCAATTAAACAGTGGGTTCCAGTAGAAAAACAAAATAAATAAAAAAAGTGCAATTGCCAATAATTCATGAAAATGACAAAATCAGAAAATAATTGTTGGCACACTTGTATCACACTTGAAAAGTTATAAATGTTCCATATTAATTGACAGAAAAAGAGCAGTGATCAAGGGTTGAGGAGTTTTAGCTTTAATCCACCTCGTAGATATACAAAGTCCTTGTTGAACAAGTCCTTGGAAACTTCGATTTGATCCAGTGTGTCAGGGCTGACCACAATTATAAAGAGAAGAAACATTAATAACTTTGCTCCCCAAAAATTTCTATCCCTCAACAGCTTAGAATGATATACTGATTGCAAACTAGGATGAAAGATGCAAGAACTCACTCCATCAATACTACCGTTCCATCACTATCCATGCACATAAACATGAAAGTCTTTTCTTGAACATAGACCCCTGAAACAATTTGTGATTTGTAAGACACGAGAGGATTACAAATCAATTATCACAAGATATGAAGTGCCCTAGCAAAACACTGATTGGAAAAGGCAGATATTGCCTGACATCTTTTAATTTAAACCAAAAGAAGCATGGAAAATGTACTCAGCCTTCACAGTTTATTTTATCTGAGAACAAAGACACTAGAGCCCTCAAAACAAAGTCTATATTTATTCTGATTATCTATCACTTTATCTCTGATTTGGTTTCCCTATTATTTGTAATTAGTCCTTGTTTAGTTTCCCTATTACTGTAATTACCCTGATTGGAATGATTTCAGCTTACATAATTCTAGTGCTCTCTGTAGTTTGTGGAAAGTGATATAAGTGAAGCATTATCTTCAAGTAAGAGAAAGAGTCGTGAAACAGAAAAGAGAGGTTGGGGAAAGAAAACAACATGTTGCATTGATTTATCAAATCTCAAACATATAAAGTAGAGTATCTTTCTCCAAACTCCAAGGGGTTTCCATTCAACAGAAATTTTCCCCTCTTACAACCAACCTACTGCTCCATTTACAAACGAACAAATCTACCTTCTTCTCTTCTACCTATCCACCTATCTGAGCTAATTCCCTACTCATAACAATTCAAAGTGCTCAACAACTCCACTTACATGAATATTCTAACTACTCTCTGACCACCTATAAATGTCATCTCCTAAATATTCAACATTATCCTCAAGGTAAGAATTGGGGATTCCCCTATAAAATGCATGCATGTGCTGTTCTTTGTTAAATTGCTTTGCAACATAAATATTAGACAATCCAGGCCATAACAAAAAATTACTAACAATGGTATCAGAATTAACTACTAAATCAGCAGTCTTTGCATAATGATTATATTACTCAGATATTTGCATTTGACATGTTACATACAGAGGTACATACTTTCAATATCATCATCGGTACCCATTCTTTGTGTTACCTTGTTTCCCTGGCCAATGTCACGCAGTTCCACCTATTCGAAACCAAATAAGAAATTGTATATTAGGATAAAAAAGGCACACCCTAAATCTACACCCTCTAAAGAAAACAACATTACTTGATCAAATATGTTACTAGGTACATGTCATTCGTGCTTTATCACACTGTTAGTTGTTGTAGTAAGTTCAATAAATCGCGACTGAACTTGTTGGAGGCTAAAATGTCACGGATGAGAGTGTCGATGGAGGGGCTTAAGGCTCAGGCAAAAGCACAAACGAAGCTGATGGAGGCAATTTCTCTTAGTTTGTCGTAAAAAAGAACGGAGGAAGGAGGCGAATCAATGGACTCGAAAAAGGAAAACAAGAGTGTTTTTGGGTCTGGATTACGCCCTCTTCAGGGAGATGCAACGGAGGAATTTCGGTCATCAGTCAAGAAGATCAAGTTGCCCCTATTTAATGGTGACAACCATGGTTATCGAACTCGCGGGTTGACTCGTACACCCGTACGAGTCAGCGAGTCAAGTTATTGTTTACGGGTTAACTCGCATATAAACTCGTTTTTTGTTTGACTCGGAGTGAACTCGGAATAAACTCGTTGACTCGGAATAGACTCGCGAGTTGAGAGCGAGTCACCGAGTTCGTAGGGAGGGACGAAACGACAAACAAAAATGTCGTTACCATTTCGATTTTAAACCCAAACAAAAGCCCTAACCACCCAAATCGAAAACCTAAACGAAATTAAAGATTGAAACCCAAATCAAAAACCCTAATCGAAGAAGAGAAAATTGAAGAAAAAAACCTAGATCTGACCTCCGTCGCCCCCACAGCTCTGGTGTCGTGCGTTGCAGTTCTGGTCGCGTCGCATCGCATCATCGCCCTGCAGCTCAGCCCTCGCAGCTCCTCGTCGTCACGTCGTGTCGCGTTTTCGCCCCCGCAGCTCAGTGGCGTTGCACCTCCAATCGCCTCGCGTCGCAGCTCTGGTCGTCTCGCGTAGCAGCTCCGGTCGCCTCGCGTCGCAGGTAGGATTGTCATGCATTGGTTGGTGCGTAAGTGAGTGTGAGGATGTGCGTTGCATTTCTCTAAAATGCAATGCATTTGTCTGAAACCTTTTTTTTTTTTATTCATTAGCAAAAATCTAGCTGGTAAATTTTTTTATATTTTTTATTTATTTATTTATTCATTGAATAGGTAGTATTTATATAATTTATTCTCTGTTTTATTTATTGAATTTATTTTTTGTTGCATATTTTATCTTTTATTTTAGTTGTCCTTTATAGTTGTTCTAAAAAAATAAATTATTTTATTTTTAGTTAATTGAGACTGATTTGCAATGTCTGGAAGTGGGACTGCTTCAAATTCTTGTGATTCCAATGTTAATGTATCTTCACTACGAAGACCTCCTAGACCTAGAAGTAAAAATGTTTTAGGAAACCGGACCGACATTGGATGGAAACACGGAACAGATGTTTCGGGTAATGGAAAAAAAGTTAAATGTAATTATTGCTCAAAAATAATCAATGGAGGAGTTTTCAGATTCAAACATCATCTTGCTGGTAATAGATATGATTCTGAACCATGTGCCTCACTTCCAGAAGAAGTGAAAGTTGTAATGATGAAAGTTGTGGCAGAGGCTAAAGATGTTTCGAGAAAAGAAAAGGAGACGAAATATAATTGATGAGTATGATGATGAGCACATTCAAGAGGTGGATACCACTCAAAGTAGTAGTAGTATGATGTTCAAAAATAAAGGAAAGGACAAATTCAGTCAAGGTGTTCAATCTACTTTAAATCAACTCGTATAAGAAAGGGGATAAAGAAAAAGTTGATGCTCAAGTGGCGGAATTTTTTTACACAAGTGTCATTCCATTCAATGTTATTAGAAATCCTGCTTTTGCAAAAATGTGTGAGATGATTGGAAGATATGGAGTTGGTTACAAACCCCCATCATATCATGATATTAGAGAAAAACTTTTGAAACAAGCGAGTGCAAAAACCGATGTAATCCTTGAAGAATATAAGGAGGAGTGGAAAAGAACAGGTTGCACAATCATGTCCGATGGGTGGACTGACAAAAAAACGTTCTATTTGTAACTTTCTAGTCAATAGTCCTAAAGGGACTTGTGTTTCTTTACTCATTGGATACATCAAATATCTCAAAAATTGCAGATAAAGTATTTAAGATGTTGGATGATGTAGTGGAATTTGTTGGAGAGAAGAATGTGGTTCAAGTGGTTACCGATAATGCTGCAAATTTCAAGGCAGCTGGAGAGTTATTGATGCAAAAACGAGAGCATTTGTATTGGACCCCATGTGCTGCCCATTGCATTGATTTGATTTTTGAAGATTTTGAAAAACATTTGAAGGTCCATCAAACTACTATCAAGAAAGGAAGAAGAATCACTACCTACATTTATGATAGAGCAATGCTAACTAGCATGTTAAAGAAGTTTACCAAAGGTAGAGACTTGATAAGGCCAGGTATGACTAGATTTGCCACATCTTATCTAACTCTTGCATGTCTTCATGAATTGAAAGCATCATTGATGAGCTTCTTTAGCTCTGATGAGTGGAAATCAAACAAATTTGGAACTTCAATGGAAGGGAGAAAAATTGAGCATGTGGTATTAGATAGTCGGAATGTAACCACTTGTCTCAAAGTTGCTGCCCCTTTGATGGTGGTCCTTCGATTAGTGGATTCGAGATATAAAACCCGCAATGGGTTTCATTTATGAAGAAATGGATTACGCCAAAGAGAAGATCAAATTTAACTTTAATAATATTAAGAAAAGGTAAAATTTATAAACTTTCTCTTTTTCGATTTTCATTCTTTATTTTGTGTAATTATTTCTAACATTGCATGATTGCATCATTGTAGTTATGAACCCGTTTGGAACATAATTGATGAGAGGTGGAATAATCGACTTCATAGACCTTTGCATGCGGTTGCATATTACCTTAACCCTCACATGCACTATGAACCTAATTTTAGAAATGATGATGTGGAGGTAAAAGAAGGGTTGTATGAATGCATGAAAAGATTGGTCAAGGATGTTGCAGAAAGGAAAAAAATTAATTTACAACTTCTAGAGTTTCATTTTGCAAAAGGACTTTTCTCAATGGAAAATGCAAAAGATTGTAGGAAAGTTATGCTTCCTGGAGAATGGTGGGAAATGTTTGGAGATGGAACTCCGAGTTGAAGCGATTTGCTATTCGAGTTTTGAACTTAACTTGTAGTTCTTCCGGGTGTGAGCGTAATTGGAGCTCATTAGAAATGGTAAGTCAAATTTGTTAAGTTATTATTTGTTTTTAATTTTTTGTATTTAAACATTCATATTTATTTATAGGTTCACACAAAAAGAAGAAACTGTTTACACCAGAAAAAGATGAATGACTTGGTTTATGTCATGTACAACTTGAAGTTCAAAAATAAACAAAATAGGAAAAGCAGTTGCTCTCCCATTTGATGATATTGAGTCCGATGATGAATGGATAACGAGAAGATGGTGATAATGTTGGGATTGAGCGAGTTCAAGGTGAAGGTGATGAGGAAAATGTTGACATAGCTGAAATAAGTTCAGTTGATCCTACTTTAGAGCCAATTGATCTTGATAATATAGTGTTTGATGCCAATGTTGATGATGCACTCTTAGCATCCGAGGAAGAGGTTGATGGTGATGGAGAAGATGATGATGAAGATGAAAAAGATGATGATGTTGGAGATGATATAATTAGAGGATTGGAGCTAGAAAGTTGAAGTTATTTATGTTTTGGTGATTTGTATTAACTCATGTATTTGGTGTAATTTGAACTTATATAACAATCATGTGTGTTGAACCAAGTTATTTTAGAATTATTGAACTATTGTTTTTTATTTTCATTAATTTTGATGATGAAATTCTGAATTTGTATTATTATATAGAATTTTTCATATGAAGTAGACTCTTACGAGTCTATGAGTCGGGTTTACGAGTCGAGTCTACGAAGCTCTCAAGAGTCAACGTAGACTCTCGATTCTGATAACCTTGGTGACAACCCCACTAGCTGGATTACTAAAGCTGAAATTTATTTCAGAATCCAAGAAACCAGTCAGGAGGTGAAGGTCAATTTGGCACAATTGTGCATGGAGGGAGGCACAATTCATTTCTTCAACTCTTTGGTGAATGACAGTGAAGATTTGTCTTGGGAACAATTGAAGGAAGCTCTATTGGAGAGATATGGAGGTTGGGGAGAAGGAAGCATTTATGAGCAACTTACAGTGCTCAAACAGCTGGGGACGGTAGAAGAATATATTAAGAGTTTTGAGTATTTGGTTGCTCAGGTACCTCGTATTCCTGACGATCAGTACTTTGCCTATTTCATTTCGGGGTTGAAGGACGACATTAGGGCACGTCTCAGGAGTATACAGTCATTGACGCCATTGACACAAGGACAAATGTTGAATGCTACTAGAACACTGGAAATGGAGATGGCTTCACGAAGCAAGAACTATGGTGGGTTGGGCCATCAAGACTCACATTTTGGGTCAAATAGTCAAGCCCAAGGAAAAACTCATTTGTATGGTGGGAAAAGAAATTTAGGTGTGAACTCGAATTTCAGAAGGGATGTTAAGAGCAACCTTGGAGGGGGTACAACTAATGGGTCAGGCCCAAAGAATGAGATGGTAGACAAAGGGAGACATGGGTCACGTGATAAGGGCATAAGACATCTATCCTATTAGGAGCTAATTGATAGAAGATAGAAAGGATTATGTTTTAAGTGTGGTGGGACCTACCACCCTTCCCACACATGTCTAGATAAGCAGATAAAGATAATGATATTGGAGGAGGGCAATACGCAAATAAAAGGGGAGGTTCACAGCTCACTAATCGAGGGTGACAAGATTGACGATGACATAATCGAAGGAAACTGCAGTGTTTTAAGTCTCCAAAGTTTAGTGGAGGATAAGTCCACTCATTCACACACTCTAAAGTTGAGAGGTAAAATTAAAGAAGTTCCTATTCTGATTTTGGTTGATAGTGGGGCAACCCACAATTTTATTTCCCAGAAATTAGTGGAATCCCTGGATTGAGAATGTCAAAACACGAAGGGCATGAAAGTCTTGATGGGCGATGGCCATTTGACTCAAACCCAAGGGTTGTGTCGCAGCTTGGAGGTCCAACTCGAGGGAGGAAATTTTGAAGTGGATGCCTATTTATTTGAGTTGCAGGACATTGATACGATACTTGGAGTATCTTGGCTGGCATCATTGTGGGAGATGTTCATCGATTGGGGAGATCAAGTCATGAAGATTAAGACTCCAAAGGGCATTCAAATTCTGAAAGGAGTAATGCATTCTAAAAACATCCCTACAGCGTTAAAAGTGATGATTGAGGATAAATCTAAGGTGCAAGGGAAGGACGTGTCAGAACTCTCTCCAAAGCAAAGTGAAGAGTTGCAAAGGTTGTTGTGCCAATTTGACGTTGTCTTCTAGGACCCCAAGGGATTACCTCTAGTGCGATCAAAGGAACATGCAATCACGCTACTGCTTGGGGAAGGGCCTGCCAATGTACGTCCTTATCGTTATCCTTATCACAAAAAAATGAGATAGAAAGACAGGTTCGAGTATTGTTGGAGGATGGCCATATTAGGCCTAGTCGAAGTGCCTACTCGAGCCCAGCACTGTTGGTAAAAGAAAAATGCTTCTTGGCGTATGTGTGTTGATTTCAGAGCACTGAATAAGGTCACCATACCAGACAAGTTCCCAATTCCAGTGATTGAAGAACTGTTGGATGAGTTACATGGGTCTCACTTTTTTTCGAAATTATACCTAAAATTTGGATACCAACAAGTGAGGATGAAGGAGGAGGACATTCCCAAAACAGCTTTCAAAACCCATGAGGACCATTACGAGTAATTGGTAATGCCTTTCGGGTTGATGAACGCCCCTTCAACCTTTTAGGCCCTCGTGAATGAAGTTTTCAGGCAGTAAATACGAAAGTATGTTCTAGTCTTCTTTAATGACATTTTGATATATAGTGTGGATTGGAAGACTCATTTGAGTCACTTGGAGGAAATTTTGAGCACCCTAAGATCTCCCTCCATGCTAATAAAAAGAAGTGTTTATTTGGTCAGAAAAGTGTGGAATACCACATTATTTCCAAAGAAGGAGTGGAAGTCGACCCAGCAAAGGTTCAAAATGTACAAGAGTGGCCTATTCCAAAAAATGTAAAGGGGGTGCGTGGCTTCTTGGGATTAATAGGGTATTACCGAAAGTTCATCAAGGAGTATGGGAAAGTGGCCAGGCCCCTCACAGTTTTGACGAAGAAAGATGAATTTTGTTGGAATGCAAGTGCTCAACAAGCCTTTGAGGAACTTAAAAGAAGGATTACGACAACCCCAGTGTTGGTACTTCCTAATTTCAGTCAACCGTTTGAAATAGAGTGTGATGCCTCCGGTGTGGGGATTGGAGCTATCTTGGTGCAACAAAAACAATCCGATAGCTTTTTTCAGCAAGGCTTAGGGAAGTAGGAATTTGGCCAAGTCTGCGTATGAGAAGGAATTAATGTCCCTTGCTCTACAAATGGATGGACAAAAAGAGGTGGTAAACCGTTGTATTGAGACCTAATACATACACTGTTTCATTTTTTATCAACCAAAAGATTGGGTGCACTGGATTCCATGGGTAAAGTACTGGTACAATACTACATACCATGTGTCCATAGTAGTATCACCTTTTGAAGTTGTATATGGCTGCAAACCACCCATTTTGGTTCGTTGTGTCCAAGGTTCAAGTGGAATCAGTCTAGAGGGAATTGTTGGACCGTGATGAGGCTTTGAGACAATTAAAAAATTCATCTACAACATGCTGAGGTTAGGATGAAAGCTCAAGCGGATGAACACAGGTAGGAAAGAAGCTTTAAGGTGGGGTAATGGGTATTTTTGAAGTTGAAACCTCATCGTCAACATTCAATGATGGCGAGAATCTGTCCTAAACTGTCTGTAAGATATTATGGACCGTTTGAGATCTTAGTGTGTTGGGGCTATGGCTTATAAACTAAAGCTTCCGCAAACTTCAAGGATCCATCCCGTTTTTCACGTTTCTTTATTAAAGAAGGCAGTGGGTAATTATTCTATGCAACTTGAATTACCAACAGGATTGGAGGGAGACAATGAAATTCAGTGGGAGCCCAAAGTAGTATTGGCTGCTCGCAGCATTTGGAAAGCTGGAGATAGAGTCAATCAATGGCTCGTGCAATGGAGTGGAAGGACAGTTGATGAGGCCACTTGGGAAGATGAGATCGTATTAAGGAGCAAATTTCCCACTCTTAGTCTTGAGGACAAGACTGTTGCTGCAAGTGGGGGCAGTGATGAGGCCCATATGGAGATGAAGCCCAAAGAATCATTAGCTCATTCTTATTGGGAGAGTACTGATCCAAGCAAGTGGAAAGTGTACGTGAGAAGGAAGAAAGGTATGATGCAAGGATGCTGAGGTGGTAGGGTTGTTATAGTGAGACAAAGAGGAATTCTGTTATATAGGATGTTTAGAGAGAGAGAGAGAGAGAGAGAGAGAGAGAAAAGGAGAGAAGAGAGGAAAATGTTTTTGGGTATAGAGAATCACCTTGTTTTCTCTATATAGGAGCTCTCCTTTGGGCAATTGGGGTTTCACTCCTTTTGTTTTTCCTATCTTTTCATTAATATCATATTCATTTCCATCATTTACGGTGCCTTATTTTATTTCTATAGCTTTGGTATCAGACACTGCCTATGTGTCATCAATTTATATAAATTGTAAAGCTCAAACTATAGAGAGAAAAAAAACAAAACATTTAGATACTCCAATCAATTTTGTTTTTACTCCTTGATCTCTAACTTTCACTTTCTTTTACTTTCTTGCTTTGCAACAAAATCAAACAATATAAGAATCTTTGGGATTTGCATAACATCTATGGTAAGGTCATGAAAAATATATTAGTTAATGAGTTAGTAGTGTCCAAGAATGCTTGCTTCCAAGGAAAACTGTTTATCCATTACTACTTCGTTGGTTTTTCAGTATAATCAAAGTGATCATGCACAAATATTATAAATGAATAGGTGCACAATTTACTTTTACGAAACCGACTTATAAGGTAAGGTTTGTACCTCAATTATATATTATAATTTGGCCATATCTTTACTCGATATGGAATCTCCAACAACAAAGAAAACGGATTCATATGTACATATACATCTTTAACATTTGCATTCAAGCCAATAAATTTACACATAAATCAATAGAAGAGTTTTTTAGTTGGACATTGATATAGAATTTAGGTAGGAAAGATGAAAGAAACAGAAAGACAAGAAGAGGGGAAAAGGGAAGACCAGAATAGAGAGGATAGGGAATAGAGGAGAGAAATAGAGAGGTCAAAGAAACTGCGCGCTGCATTTGACTATTATTTCAATCCGTCTACATTCCATCTAGATTCAGCTCTCTAGAATATAATATTCTACCTTTATAGGCAGCTACCAAACAGTTATGAACCAATAGTAGCCAACTAACTAAGACCTTTCTAATTTATATTTACATATATGGAAAATAATAACTTGTTAGGGTCTAGGTATTTATAACTTAAACAAGTTATTTAACTATGATGACAAAAAAAAAAATTGTTACTGTCTATACACAACTTGTTTTCTATTTACTTTGTTCACAACCTTTATGGTAGGTGAAGAAAAATAAGAAAGTTTTCAGAATTCTTGATGAAAATTTTCCTCTGCCAAGGAGGATATGCAGTATAAACTCAAGGCATACTGTATTGTGCAACAAGGAGATGGTTCTGTGTGTTAAGATATATCTTGAAGAGAGTGCAGAAAATGTGCAAAAACCAGCTTTCCAAGACACAATGACCATTACTACTTCACATTCCTTACCTTTAGAAATAAATACAGTAGTAATTCCTTCAAAAAACAAATTACATGATAGAATTCACTATGCTAATACTCTTTCCCTAATTTAAGGCAGTTGAATATGTTTTATCTATGCACATAGTATAATATTCCATTCTAAGTGTGTTTATGGGCGAATTTCTCTACAAGTCCTTATAGGAAAAAAAATAAGAAGAAAGAAATGTTATTAACTTCTCCATAATCTAAAATTAACTTATGTACAAAATATTTAGAGAAGCTGTACGAGCGATCTTCTACAAAGTAACTAATGCATAAACTAATTTTAACGTATGGAGAAGTTAATTTCAATAGTATTTTCTCCTCTAGAAGGAGGTTATCTACAAGCTAGTCTAAACATGCCCCAAATACTAATTGAGGAAAAAGTAAATAAATAGAAGCAAGCTGATTAATAATAATAAGCAACAGGTGTGCGATTAGAGAGGTTCAGTATGCGAAGAAAAAGAGGAAATCTTAGGATAAACCTTGATTGTGGCTTTTCCTCTTCCTTCATGAGAGTGATCTACTTTAAGAACCTGATGAGGTTTACATCACGATGGAATGTGTGAGATAACAAGATTTAAAGGATACTATTTGACAATAAGTTGGTCGATTAAGTGGTAAATACCTCGTAAATGCGCCCTGGAAGTAAACATGTCCAGCACAGCAGAATAAGAATACAAAGTGAATCAGTAAGAAAACATACATGTCAATTTGAATCCACTGAGTAAAATTCAATAACCCCAAAGCAAAGAAACCTTGTTTTCCAATGATATTTCCGACTCTAATCTGCATCGCAAGAGACAGTGAAGAAGCATCTATCAAAAGTTCGATCAAAAGCCCAATAAAATGGTCAGAGTTAAAAGATGCATACATCAGAACCAGATACTTTGATTCCCCGACATTGAGAGGAAGACCAAGGGGAGGTGAACAAGTTGGTATAGGTAGAGGAAGCAGGAAGCGGTGATGATAGTGAGGTAAGATTCAACGGTGGCGGAGAACAAGAAGAAGAATATAGATAGGATGAAAGTCTAACAAGAGACTTGGTATCGGAATTGAAAAGTCTCAGCCTCAGCCAGAGAGTTTGCATTCTCCGATTCAATTTTGATTTCGGAACAACCTCAAGCTCTTCGGGTTACCTAAAGGTCACACTATACCTCCATTCAACCAAAAAAATGGCAACGGGCCGCCCGACTTTCCCACCTTAACTCTCCATTTTTATTCCATATATTATTTAAAAAAATATTTATAATAAATTAATTTGAATATTTTTTATATTTTTTTATATAAATAAAATTTTAAAATATTTAAATTATTATTGTTAATTAAGTATTTTAATTTCTTATATATATATATATAAATGATATTTAATATTTGTTTTTTATAAATATAGAATATTATAATATTATTATTAACCCTATATTCAAATTTTTTTATTATATTATAAATTAATTATTTTATTATTATTATTTTAAATAATTTTTATTTAATTAGTATAAAATAATTAAAATTTTAATTATTAATTTTTGTCAATCATTCAAAATAAAATTATGTGAATAAGATAATATTTGATATATGATAAATAAAAATAATAAAATTAAAAAAATGACATAACAAAATTTAATATCATTAAATTAAAAATTAAATAATGTTAGGTAATATTAAAATTGATGTAATATATCTAAAAAAAAGATAAAAAAACATTTTGTGTTTGTTGAGAGAAAAAGAATATTATATTAAACTAATTGGTTGAAGACATTGAAAAGGGTAAAAGAGTAAAAAATGGATAAGAGAAAAATAAAAAGTATGGAATATCAAGTGAAAAGTGGGCAAGATAAAAGTAAAGATTATAAAATATAAAAGAAATAATCTTACATGTAATGTGAGAAAAATATATTTTAAAAATATTAATAATTTAGGGTTTATGTTTAAATATAAAGTCGGGACGGGGATGAGGTGGGTAGGAATTGCATTACCTATCCTCAATCCTTGGCCCCATCTTAGACTTTTTAAAGCGGAGAAAACTCACACTCATACCCGATCAACTTGATTTTTCCCTCTTAATGTTTTGGATTTTAGGTTTGGAGTTTGGACATTGTGGTTTGAGTCTGAGGTTTTGGGTTTTATGTTTTATGGTTTAGGGTTGGGGTTTTAGGTTGGGATTAGGGTTTAGGGTTTAGGATTTAGGAGTTTAGGTATAACGTATAGGGGTTATAGGTAGGGTTCAGGGTTGGGGTTTGAGGTTGGAGGTTGGTGACGAAAGGTCTTTCGAGGGTGTATTTACTGGGGAGAGACAACACTAATGAGACATGAACCAACTCACATAAGGAATTACCTAAAATCTTAAGGCATTGGGTTATGTGTCTTTTTTCTTCATATGTTGCTTAACTTCCTCATTTTTACATATGTAGAACTTAGATTCACTCTTGAATCATCCAACAATCTCTCCCTCAAGTGTGAGTTCCTCCATATTGGTACATCTCCCTCGAGCTCACTAGTGGTTCTTCCATATATCATTGTTCATCATAACAAGACACACTTATTTAACTTACTGTAAAAAAGACTTTAGATAAATCACTCTTAAACTGTCGATCACCACACAAATCATCTCCTCTGATACCACTGTTTGATCTTTCGAGGGGAATTCATTGGGGAGAGAAAACACCAATGAGACATGAACCCAACTCACATAAAGAATTGACACTACCTTCAACCAAAAATCTTAAGACATTGTAGGTCTTTCTTCTTTATATGTTATTTAACTTCCTCATTCTTACACAATGTGAGATTTATAATCACATTTAGATTGCCTAACAAGGGGTTCAAAGATGGGTGTTTAAGGTCTAGGTTGTAAGGTGAAGGTTCAGGGGTAGGGTCTAGGTTTCAAGGTGCAAGGTTCATTGTCCAAGGTTTGTAGTTTTAGCTTTAGGGTTTTGGGTCTAGGGTGTGAGGTGTGGGGTTTGGGATTTGGTGTATGGGGGTTAGGGGTTATGATTTAGGGGTTATGGGTTAGGGTTAGGGTTAGGGGTTAAAGTTTAGGGTCTAGGGATTTGGGGTTATGGTTTAGGGATTAGGACATAGGGGTTAGGTGGATATGTAAGATATAAAGTGTTCATAAATATGAAAACGGTAAAAAAAACACAATTTTTAAAAAATTTCTAAACATGTGTAACTATGAAAAATAAATTCCTAAAATGTAAGAAAATGAGTAAAAATACTAGAAAAAAAAAACAAAAAAAAGTATGAAACATGTGGGATATAGAAGATGTAAATGTATCATAAATCTGAAAATGGTAAAAGAAGACAATATAAAAAAATTTCGAATTATTTGACAAGTGTATTTATGAAAACTAAATTCCTAAAATGTCAAAAATAACTAAAAAATGCAAGAAAAAAGTGGTATGAAATAGTGAATGTATGATAAAGCTGAAAATGGTAAAATAAAACAACAGAACAATTATTAGAATTTTTCGACAAATGTACCTATAAAAACTAAATCCCTAAAATGTAAGAAAAAAAATAAAAATACTAGAAAAATAAAAACTAGTATGAAATAATACAATTTTGAAAAAAAAATAACAAAAGTGTGGAATATTTAAAAGGTAAATGCATGATAAATATGAAAATAGTGAAAGAAAACAAAACAAATTTTTAGAAATTTCTAACAGGTGTGTCGCCGCCGTCAAAAGAGGCGGTCGGAGCGATGCGATGGTTTTGATTGACTCACATTTTTTAAAGAAGTGTTCAATGCCTTTAGGTTGTCCGATAACCGGGCTGAATCTAAAGGCGAGGTTTTTGAAAAGGGTTCTATAGATTCGCCACCAGTGTTTTGATCTTAAACACTGAAAAAGGTAAAAAGGCAGTGGTTTTAGAAAAAAACCAACTTTGGCCATTACAACCAGAGTCGGGTAAGGGAGTTAGTTACGTATGGGGAAGGTGTTAGCACCCCACAACGCCCATTTCGGGTTCCCTATGACGGACTAGCTTATAAAATGAAAACTAAAAAAATTACGCTTTTACCCTTATTATTTCATCTACTTGCAGAAATTAAATGTCTACATGGCTTTAATACTTAATATGCATACAAGAAAAGCTATAAAGGAAGCAATAAAAGAGATTATGTGAAAGAAAACCTCTGAAGCAAGCTTTATATTAATCTTTTGAAGATTTGAGAATGTTTTTTGGCTATACTCTCACTCTACAACGCCTCTCCCTCCTCTACTGATAGAAAGACTCTAGAGTGTCTAAGAAGAGCACTAGAAGTCTGGAAATGCTTCAGAGAGGTTCTAGAAGAGTATTGGAGGTCTAATTTCAGTGAAAAGTTGTTGAAAATGAGGAGGGGGAGGTCTCTATTAATAGAAATTCATGTCTATCAGACTGGGATGGTCGTCTCGACCTTTGTCAGGCGAGACGACCGTCTTGCCAGTCGGGACGGCTGTCTCGCCACTTTGGAGTCGAGACAGCCGTCTCGCCAAGTGACGAGATGGTGGTCTCGTCCTATAAGTGGCGAGACGGTCGTCTCGCTTTTGCAAGGTGAGACGGCCGTCTGGCCAATTGGGACGGCTGTCTCGAGCTTCTGGGCAAGATTTCTCTAATTTTTCTTATTTTCTATGTACAGGAAGGCCTCCTATCCTAACTATGGAGCCTAGAGGCTTTGCCTATCTTCTAATTGAGGTCTTCTGACTTTATTGTGAGGTAGGGCGAGATTTGGGATCTACAGCTGCCCTGCCTTTACCTGAGCAATTGATTATGGGTTGGTGTGCCATAAGGTCGATTGACGGGTAAAGGAGTTAACCCTCTTGCTCGGTTGTCCTTCGGATGCCCCTTCTGACGTGGTAGCTGACTCTTGGACCAAGAATATGATCTGATGTCTTCGGGATACTCCTTTAAAGCGGTAACTAACCCCTTGATTTTGGTTTGATGCCTAAGGATGCTCCTTTGATGCGGTAACTGACCCTTTGGCTGGAGAAGGCTTTCCTTCGGGATGCTCCTTTGAAGCGGTAGCTGACCCCTCGGGTGGTGTGTGTGAAGCTTTAGGATGCTCCTTTGATATGGTAGCTGACCCTTTAGCTTCGATGAGTAGAGAACCTCGGGATGCTCTTTCGATGCGGTAGCTGACCCCTTAGTTTCAGTTTGATGTGTAGATCTCTATTTTTGGATACCCCTTTGTTATGGTGGCTGGTCCTTTTGATAGAGAAAAAGGGTGGCGGCTTACTACTCTAGCTCATGGGTCGGCATTTGTCTTCGAGACACTCCCTTGCAATGGAGCTGGTCCTTCAGACGATGTATGTGGTGGTGGCTTACTGCTCTTGCTCATGCGTCGGCTCCATGGCGAGCGATTGTATTTTGAAGGTAGCCTTCCAGCTTTGTTGATTGCTAGGGATTTCTGATAAATGCCTCTTAGGCAAGGATCCACTGGGGGATACATTGATTCTAAATGGTGCCTCTGAGTAGGCCGATATTCTCGTTGGGGGTGTTGGCTTTTTGTTTGTCGGTTTTGCCCATGCGCAAGCAAACGACTTACTGGGGATAAGTTTGCCCTTGTAGTAAGCTCACTTGGGGACGATTTTTTCTTTTTGGTGACCCTTTGGGGAATTTGTGCTTCCCTAGGGATCTAATTTTGATAATCTTCAGGGGTGGGAGATGGAGTCTTGCTTTCTTTGACTATGTTGGTGAAGGGCTTTTGATGGAGCCCTTAATCTCACTTGGCTGGCGCGATGGAGAATGAATGTGCTTGATGACTCTATTGGCGATGGCGTTGAGTCGTGCAAAGTTTGTTTTTTGTTTTGCCTCTATAGTAGGCAATAACCCACTTGGGGATAGAGTCTTTCTGTTGGCTTTGTTTTGGTGGTTGGATGATAATTGGAGCTTATTTGATTCCGAAAGCTCTTGGCTAATTTTGTCTTTTTCCGCGGTTTATTCTTTTTTCTCACGATTTTGAAATTTGGCTTTTTCAGGATGATGCATATGTCTTTTTGCTTCTCAGTTTCTTTTATATACACTGGCTTTTTAAGAGAGAGTAGAGGTGTAGACCCCAAATCTTGGCCGGTCTCATAATAAAGACTAGAAGACCTCCTTTTCGAAGATGGA